CGTCGGTCGCAGTCTCGGCAGAACCAGCATACTGCAAGCATCCACCAGATATCATAGAAGAAGAAACAAGCACACATAAACATTAACTTTTGGCGCTCCGCGTGTATTTCTTGGATTCGCGCTGGACCCCTCTCCCTGGCGCGCTCCGCGCGCCAGGGGCGGCGCCGGAGGCGCCGCTGGGGGGCCCAGACGAGGAACCAAGAAATCCGCGCGGAGCGCCAAAGTTTAGGAACCAAGGACGAGGAACCAAGGACGAGGAACCAAGGCCGAGGAACCAAGTTTATGTCTATGTGGTTGTTCTTCTTCGAAATAAAGGGCTACTGGCTTCCGAGCGGCGAGCACGGGGCCCCGCGCTGCCTGCGAGACGGCAACAGGGGAGGACACGCTCGACGCGGCGTGCCGCAGCGCCCCGAGGAGGAGCGGGCCGACGGAGGTCCGGGCCGAGGCTCGCAGGGCCCTCCCCCCGTCCCACCCCCCCGACTGCCCTGCTGCGACGAAGCCAGGACGGGGCCAAGTTCGGGTGAGGATAAGTCGAAAATCTCTGAGACCTGGCGGCTCGGGAGGACGTTTCGGGCGCCGTGGCCTTCTCACAGCGTTCCGGAACGCTCCGAAAGCACTCCCGAACGCTCCAGGACGGATGCTTCCCCGTCCTAGCCCCGTCCGACCTCCCCCCTTCGAGTCGACCCCCCCACCTCCCCGGGGGGGCGGTCTCTGGACGGGATGTCGAGGCAAGCCCCGCCGCGCCGACGGGGGCCGGTCATGCCTGGAGCACGGGCAGCAAGAGCCACAACAAGAGCACGCCCGACGGCCTGCGTTGTTCCGCCACGTGATGCCTCAGACCTCTCGATGTCGTCCCGGGGGGCCAGTCGCTCCCCCCGGGAGCGGCTTCTGATGGCCCAGGGGCGGGAATGCGGGGGCGCAGAGGCCAAGCACCTGACTATCTCTTGTGGCTTGGGTCTCCCAGACCTTGCCTCCTCGGGCGTGCTCTAGCCTGGTTGCCGAGGAAGGCCCCAAGGAGAAACAACCTTCGAACACCTCGATCCGCGCTGCCCGCTCGTCGACCATCGTCGTCATCCTCCGCCACGATGGAAGAAGCGGGGCAGGGCTGCAGAAATCTCCAGAGGCGCCATGAAGCCTGCGGAGGCCCCACAAAAGTGTGGATACCCGCAGTCTCCCTGTCCCTGACTCGCAGTCTCCCTCCCCGCCTACCCCTGAGCGCGGGCAATCGCGCACGGGCGCTAGCCCAGGAGGACGAGGAGGAGGAGCTGGAGGAGGAGGCAGAGGATGAGAAAAAAGGAAGAGGGGAGGAGAAGGAGAGATAGGAAGGAAGAGGGAGAGGGGAGCGACAACGACGACAGCAACGACGACGACCACCACCACGAGCACGACTGCGACGACGACGACGACGACGACGAGGACGACGACGACGACGACGACGACGACGACGACGACGACGACGACGATGGCGACGCCGCCGACGACGACGACGCCGACGACGACGACGACGACGACGACGACGGCGACGAGGACGACAACGGTGGCGACGACAACGGCGACGGCGGCGGCGGCGGCGACGACGACGACGACGACAACGGCAACGGCGACGAAGGCGGCGTCGGCGGCGGCGGCGGCGACGACATCGACGACGACGACGACGACGACGACGACGACGACGACGACGACGACGACGACGACGGCTGCTGCGGCGGCGGCGGCGGCGGCGGCGACGGCGATGGCGGCGGCGGCGACGACGACGACGACGACGGCGGCGGCGGAGGTGGCGGCGGCTACGGCGGCGGCGGCGACCGCTGCGACGACAACGTCGGTGACGGCGGCGGCGGCGGCGAAGCCTTGGGACAGGGCGCGGGCGCCGCCAGCGGGGATGTACGGTCGACGGCAAAGGGGGGGACCGCGGGGCGCGGGAGCCGCGGCAGTCCACTGCGACGCGCGGGGGGAAGGGGAGGAGGAGGAGGAGGAGGAGGAGGAGGAGGAGGAGGAGGAGGAGGAGGAGGAGGCGGAGGAGGAGGGGAAGAGGAGAAAAAGGGAAGAGGAGAAAGAGGAGGAGAGGAGGAGGAGGAGGAACGTGGAGGAGGGGGGAGGGGAGATCCTGGACCTCCACAGGGGAGGGGGGGAGGAGGGGGAGGGGGAGGAGGAGGAGGAGGAGGAGGAGGAGGAGGAGGAGGAGGAGGAGGAGGAGGAGGGAGAAGAGGAGGAGAAGAAGGGACGGGAGGAGGAGGGCGACGAGGAGGAGGAGGAGGAGGAGGAGGAGGAGGAGGTGCGGCGACGAAGACGGAGGGAAGGGGGAGAGAAAGGCAGGGAGGAGGAGGAGGAGGAGGAGGAGGAGGAGTGGAAGGAGGAGGAGGAGGAGAAGAGGAGGAGGAGGAGGAGGAGGAGGAGGAGGAGGAGGAGGGGGAGAAGGAGGGGGGGACGGAGAGGGAATGGGGGAGGGCGAGGAGCGGTGGCACAGCTCGGCAGCAAGCTCGAGACCCATGGCGGCCTTCGCAGCTGCCAGAACGGTGCAATGAAGTGTGGGTTGACTGGGACCGCCCCCTCGCACATCATACTCTGCCAGGAGCTTGTGGCACTTGTGAAACGCCGAGACACGAATCAGAGGCAGACGGGCGCGGTGATATTCCCGTTCTGCATCTGGTTCCATGCCCAGCCCGAGGCGAGTATTCGGGGAGGCGGGCAAGTGGCCACGAAGGAGCGCAAGCAGGTGAAGCAAGCGGGGGCACGAAATGTAGTGGCTGAGCTCGCCCCGTGCTGGGGGCTCGCATCCGAACAGGCAGGGCCTCTGAGCCACGGCTGGCAACGGACCTGAGGTGGTCCAGGCGCCGACCAACATCTCAAGGCTGGGCCGTCTGTTCCCCAAGGGTGCAGCAAGAACGGGTCCACGGCGAAAGCCCAAAAAGGGTCCCCGAGAGAGGGCACCCCTGGGCAAAGCCAGAGGTCAAAACGCACCCTGGGGCATAAAAGGAACAAGTTTGAGGTGAGCGAGAGAGGAGGCGCAGACGGCATCCACGTAGGCCACGTAGCCCTCAGGGATCTTGCGCTTCAGGAGCACGCGGCGGATAAACTGCCGCGACAGCGAAGGGCTCGCCGCCTTGAAACCGACAGACACACGGACAGGTATCATCTCACCGTGGTGGCTCGCAGCCCTGCAACGGGGGTCATGGGCGACACCATGTTTCAGCACATTCCTTCCCCGTATAAGCCCCTGCTGGACGGGGTGCGGAGAAGGATGATGGTCACGCCAGAAGGGACCTTACGCATTCAACGCTTGCAAGCGTGGCGGTCTGAAGTGGGCACTGGAGGTGGCTCCCCGACAACCCAGGATATGCAAGAGGGGGAGGAGAAAAGTGGCGGGACGGGGGTGCTTACACAAGCAGTAGAGCCGGGAACCGAATCGATAAGTCGGATGGGCAATCGACATGAATCGGATCGGCAGAAATCGGCGGCCAAGTCGGGGAAAGTCGTATCGGCGGACATCGGCAGGCTAGCAGGCCTCCATTGAGACAACGGAGCCCGAATCGGAACCCGAAGCCGAACCGAACCGGAATCGGAAGCCATCGGGATCGCATCGAACCGAACCGGAGGAATCGGACTGAGCCCTACACAAACATGCACACACACAGACAGACCGCACGGAGCGCGCCAGCGCACACAGGCACGCCCCCATCGAGAGACGCAGGAGCGCGGCGAAGAGCTGCCCCCCTCCTGCAGCGCTCAGGCCCGCCCTCTCGAGAGACGCAGGAGAGCGGCGAAGCGCTGCCCCCCTCCCGCAGCGCTCGGGCCCGAAGCGCGGGCCACACGGCCTGCCCGTGAGAGCCGGCGTGGGGTGCGGCAGCCTCCGGTGCCGCGGGCGGCCCGCAGCCCGCTCTCGGGGCCGCCGGGCTCCCAAAGGAGCAGGGAGAGAGGGAGGAGCAGGGATGACGGATTGGGCCAGTTTTATGTCGGGCATGTCCCCCATGCAGGCGGCTTTGTTGCCGGAAGAAAAACAGCAAATGCTCAACGATGGTCCGCACAAGTGGTAGAAAAATCGTCCCCCCAGACGATTTTGGGGTCGGTTTTGAATCCGAATGGAGGAAGAGGAAGAGGAAGGAGAAAGAGGGAGGACGAGGATGGGGAGGAGGCCGACAGGGTCACCCTGCAGCTGGCCCCACAACCCTGCTGAGTGGTTTGGAGCATCCGGGTCGATTGTGGCCTGAGTCTGCTCAGGGGGGAGCCCGGCAGACCAGGGAAGGAACGGGACGGCGAACGGGAAGGGGAAGAATGTGTTACGGACCGCGCGTGCAACACGCACACCATGCCCATTTGCCAGAGGAGGAGGAAGAGTCGGAAGAGGAGGTCCTTCTCAGTGCCGCCCAACTCTTCTCCTTGTTTTCTTCCTCCGTGGAACTCATCAATGCAAGGACCAGTTTCGGTTTCTCATCCTCCTCCTCCTCCACCTCATCATCATCATCATCATCATCATCATCATCATCATCATCATCATCATCATCATCATCAGCATCAAAGGCCGCCGAGGCTCAGGCCATCGAAAGAGCAGCGGCCTCCAGCCACCGCCCTCCTGCCTAGCCCGAAAGGCAGGGGGCCACACAGACGACACCCCGCACAACGCCATGCCGCCCAGGTTGTGCTCCAGAGCGCGGGCACCGCGCACCTGCTGAGCACGCAGGACTCGCTCGCTGACATCATGAATATGGACGAACGCATGGAAAGAGCACCTGACCACCAGCCAGACAATGATGCCGACGCTGCAGTACGGGACCGATATCCCCCATTACACGCACGAGTCCCAAGCTGCAGCTCGACCCCAGCATCACCACCACCTCAACACCCAGCACGCGAAGAACCACTGGACGCTGAGCAACAAGTTCAACATCACCGCGAACACGGAGGACCAGCACATGCAGGATTACATCATGCTGACCCTGAATTGCTAGACGCTGAGCATCAATTTCAACATCAGCACGGACATAGAGGGCCAGCACGTGCAGGACTACACCACGCTGACCCTGAATTGCCACCAGCGGAACAATTGCATGCAGACCTTGAATTGCCACCTGTACTTGAGTTTCGACATGAGCGGGACCCTGGCGACGAACGACCTGATCTTCAATTTCCAGCCCGCTGCCCGGACCCCGACGTACGCCCGCATTACGCCACTACGAAGGCCATCGCGACACTTGGATGGAACCCGTTCTCGCTTAAGGATGTTCCAGGGCGGCTCGACCATATCTCCGACACATGCCGCGCGATTCAGATTATGATGTACGTAGGCACCAAGATACGACAACGCACCACCGACGCCCCGCACCATCTCGAGGACTGCCTCCACCACACTTGGGTCCACTTCGGCTGGGGCCAGGGGGCCCGCGCAAACAGCTCGGCAGGATGCAGCATCGCGGTATCCAAGCGCCATTTCCGCAAGATAGATATCGTCAAAATACTGCACCCCCTACAACCCGACCTACGGGGCCGCGCAGGCGCCGTCGAGCTGCACCGAGGCCAGCTCCGTCTTCGACTCATTGCTGCGTATTTCCCACCACGGCCGAACGGAGCAGGTCAACACCAACGCTGGAAAGCAGGGTGCCGACGACTATGGAGCTGGGTACTGCAGACACTTACCGCCACTCCCGATCGGGTCACGCCTATCTTGTTCACGGACCTCAACCAAGGCCTAGGACGACGATCACGACATCTGTACACCGACAACGCGATCGGCAGATACCACGCCAGCGACGAGACCGAGTTCGGACGCTTCATTCACGACCAGCTCTTGACGCACCAGCTGACGGCCATCAACACGCACATCGGTGTCGGAAACACCTACTACGGGCCCAACAAGGCAAGATCACGCATCGACTACTTCATCGGCTACGACAACCTTATGGAGATAGTGAAATATGTTAAGCTGAATTGGAAGATCCACACCAAGCTACGTACTACACGTTGCCGACCACGTCCCCATGATTATGCAGATCAAGATGCCTATCAGCAGCGCCAATACCACGAAAAACAGCATTCGATGGGACTTCGGCCTCCTCGCTGCTGGGCCCCAGACGGGCGCCCATCGCGTTTCTTATCTCAATGACGTCTACGCCGAGATCGGCAAACACAAGGAGGTCCTTCGAGCCGTCAAGATGGATCAGTTTCCGACCCGACACAACGCCATAATCGCTCACGTCATTCGTGGACGCGGCCGTAGGTATTACACAAAGGAAGGAGGACAACCACAATGGTACCAACAAGCTCGACTTGAACGACTCCGACTGCTTAAAGAACGCGCTGACTGTCGAGCCCGACGACTACCCTTCAATCATGCAACCCTACGCGAGATCCAAAGACGCCTACGAGCACACCAACGATGGATGGATCACTGGTGGAAAGTCAGCCTCGACCAGGACATGCGCGACGCGTGGGCCACTCGCGATCTCTCTCGAGTTGCATATCTCACGTACATCCGAGCGGGACGACGAACAGGACCACGACGACGATCATACCTTTCACTGCCATCCACGCGTCCCACTGCAGCCGAGTACGCCGACGCCCTTACCCAGCCAGCTGTCCAGGGGACAGCTATTCCACGACCACTGGCCCAACCGAGCGACGTTCAACCAGTGGGGGGGGCACATCGGCGCCCCTGGGCTCCACGACATTGAGACGGCAGCGGAGGAGCTCGACCATCTGCAGAAACGACTGTGGAGGGAGAAACGGAGGCGCTACAACCCACCATGGGCATGGCCCATCGAACTCACCATCATGCTCCTCGCCCCACAATATCTGACGCGCCCTGGCGTTCAACGGGCAGGGATGGGACACGGCACCGCCGACTATCAATACGCGGACCCGCTCGCGGAGCAGGTCCACCAACCTAGTCGAAGGAAGCTCGTGATCGACTGCGACGTCAGCCCCACCATCATCCAGACTTTCGTCACATTACTCGCTCATGTCCACCGATGTGGCTCTCTGCCTGCCCAGGCGTTCACCAGCCAGGCGGTCGCCATTGGAAAGAAAGGAAAAAGCCCTACTGACAACGTGATTCAGGGCATCCATGCATGCGTACGTTTACTTCACTGTTTCGACAATGTTTTGTGATTATATCTCATAATAGGACTCATACAGTATGGAACCTAATTCGACCCACCGCCGTGGGCTTATGGAGGCATTCATTCTCGCCGACGCGAATCACTCATGCTCATTGCTAAACTATTGGTATGGAAGATGAGATACGCCAGAATGCATGTTCTCGCTAAGTCGCACGACATGCGGAATGCATTCGCGACAGGCTCCCACGAGCGACTGGTTGCCGCCCACACACTCCGATGCGAAGATGAGCATTTGCATCCCCCCCTTGAGCAGCACCGACACGAGGCAGTAGTATTTCTGCAGGCGTCCGACGCTAGCATAGCTCTTCGACCAGGGACGGGAGGGAGGATGGGCGACTCAAACGAGCCTGAACTTTTTATGGAATCATTCGATCCACTAGTGAAGCAGTGGTCCCAGGAGATGGCACAGGTCCAGGGAAGCCCGTTCCAGGTACACTGCTCGTTTACTGGTGAAGAGTTTGATGCGCATCTTGGAGCTTTCATTGACGATCTAGTCAAGATCCTCCTGGTGCCAGACGGCGCGGCCCTCCAGGCGCTGCAGATTGACAAGATCGACAACAACGCGCTCACCCAGGCCCTCGAGGCTGGCGGCTACGCACAGAACATCAGTAAGCAGGACACCCTGGCCTCACTGGGCACCCATGGGGCTACGAAGGAGGCCGAACGGAATACTTCTGGGAACGCAGTCCAGGACTTGATTCATCTCGGAGGATATGTACATGTTGCCAACAGTAATCGTCGTGAAGCCGAGGCCCGCATACAATCAGGTAAAATCGGGTGGAGCCGTCTGGGCGATTACTGGTACTCTGGAGGCCCTTGGAAGGCCAAACGGCTCGCGTTCGTGTCCAACGTAGCGGGGAGGGTGTGGTCTGGCCGCGAAAGCTACGTGTTGTCCCCTAGAGAGCTCCACAGACTCGACAGTTCGTTGGCTCGCAAACTACGATCAATGATGAGAGGAGCAGCACATCAGGAGGATGAGCACAACAATCATCGGTCTATGTCTACCCGCCAAGTGTTTATTGAATGGCAAGTTGCACCGACTGCCATCGAGCTACTCGTGCGCAGGCTCAGCTGGTGGCAGGGCGTAATCCGATCGCACACGCATCATGGCCACTTTCTAGCTTCTTTTTTTGGAAGATGCAAGTTCGAGCAGCAGGCGGCCATAAGCAACCGCCCCGTCAGCGCTGGAACCCTCAATTCGCAGGGTGAGATCTCCGCAGAACCGAACGTGCACCCGTGGGCCACACAGCTCGCGGACGATCTGCTGTGCATGTCGTCCCACACGATCGGCGAAAGCTTTCAGGAAGCGTGGCAGCCTCGAGTTGTAAAAGACCTGTGGGATGACGAGTGGGTTCGAGAGGCCTTCTTAAACTGTGACGTTCGGGCTCTCAGGGCTTCTTACTGGACGACTCAGTGGGCTCCCCCCGAGGCCAGCGTGATCACCTCCTCTCTCCCCTCGGCGGCAACATACGACGAGACGGACACTGACGACGAGACTAACCGCCCCTTCGTGTGCAACATCGAGTCATGCCAGAAACGGTTCGGGACGCTCAAACAGCTCGTCACACACCAAACTAAAGCTAAGAGCCTAGGACACGGTATGCCAGCGGTATTGATTACCCTACAGATCGACAACAAATGTATTGTGTGCCATACTACGTATCCAAATCAAGATCATGCAGTTAGACACCTACGACGAGCATGGCAAGCAGGCAGATGCATTCCAGAACTTACTCATCATGTATATCCCTGGATACCAGCCACATGTACTACATGCCCTCTACGGGACTACGCTCTGGATCATGCATGCCAACAGGAATATCATGATCAGCAAAAACTTCGAGCTCACGTCCTGGGACATGTCCCACCGTCGCCATCGGGTTCCATGCTCAAGCCTGTCGTCAGAAGGCTTACCGCGCGCTCGGCCACTCCGAGTGCTCCCCCGCCGCGCCCCGCGCCATCCAGCTGCCGCCCATCGCCTGCCATAGAGGACACCCCTGCGGTACGCGCTGCCATTCGTCAGCCGGTGGAACGCATCGTGGGCAGCGACCCTCGCAGCAGACCCAGGCGCCGACCACTTCGACGGCTACGAGAGGCACAGCGCCCAGCAGCAGCAGATGCAACATCTACGCGGCCAATACGAGTGGCTACTGTCTCCTCTACGCCTACTCTTCCTGCACTTCCTCATGGACCAGGCGATGACGCCCAAGCCGAGAGCGCCGTGGCGACTCCCGCTGGACTCCTCCCTGGGCTCGAAGGGCTCTGGCACCGCCTCCAGCGCCGCGCCAGGCCAGAAGGCGACAAAGGCCTCACGTCCGCCAGGCCCGCCGCCGCCGTCGCAGAGGCGATCCCGATCGCCACGAACGCCCAACAAGGTGGACGAGGGAGACATCGGCGAGGACAAGAAGCTGCCGCTCCAGACGAAGCACGAGACCAGGCTGAAGCACAGCATCAGCACGGACATATACACGATGAGCAACGAGCACCCAGTGATCACAGCCATCACGCAGGAGCTCGAGGGCTACACGCACACCCTGGACTCCCTCAAAAAGAGCGGCACCCTAGAGGATAAGAAACGCATGCAGGAGATAGGGCCGCCAGCTCCTGCCCTCGCGCTGGCGGCCTTGGAAGGACTGCACAAGTGCGACGTGGGCGGCACTATGAAGAAAGCCATTCGGAACTACCTGCTCCGAGCGGACCCCGAGGATATCGAGGCGGAGGCGGAGATCAGCAAGGGAGATCTCCTCGACGTCATCTCCATTGTGCGTCTGGAGAAGTGCCACGACGACACCAAGACGAAGCTGGTGATCGGCGCGCCCACGTGGGAGGGCCGAGACCTGATCAACCGCGCTCTCGCGGCCGAGGGCCAGGCGGTCCACCACAGGGGCGTGGCCGAGGGACACGCGGACTGGCTCGAGGAGGAGGTAGACCACGGGACGAAGACGCCCGAGTAGTGAACCCGCTCCTTTGCCAGAGCGCGCCTGCATGGCACAATGCAAGCACAAACGGAGAGGACACAATCCAGCGCCGTGTTATTTTTGTCCGAGGCGAAGCCCTCCCTGCTAGCAGTAGCACGGTCACGGTCACGTACCCTCCCGCCTCCGACGTGCCTCCACCTCTCCCCACTGCCGTGCCTGCACAAGCAGAGGAGCTACGGGAGGTGGAGGCCCCACCTGAGTTCGATACAATCGCCGAGGATGAAGCGGCCGAATACCTTTTCAGCTAGCATCCGAGACGTTGCTTGGCACGCGCAGCGCAGGAAGCCCCTCTGCGCAGCACCCTGGCAGCGTGGCCCACGCGGGGCAGTACGAGACAGTTGGCTCTCTGCGACGGATCATTAAGTATGGATTCACTGTACGCCACATCTTACCATCAGATGTTGGTCCTGACGTCGAGGAAAAAACATCAGCATCAGCATCATCATCATCATCACCATCACCATCATCATCAGCATCATCATCACCATCGTCGTCGTCATCATGATCTGATTCACTGCCGTCGTCTGCATCGTTATCATCAGGGTCATCACCATCACCATCACCATCATCATCATCATCATCATCATCATCATCATCATCAGCATCATCATCATCATCATGATCAGCATCATCATCATCATCATCATCATCATCATCATCATCGTCATCATCGTCATCAAGACCATCACCATCATCATTGTTACCATCACCACCATCACCATCACCATCACCATCATCACCACCATCATCATCATCACCACCATCATCATCAGCATCATCACCATATTCACCATCACCATCACCATCATCACCACCATCCTCGTCCGTCTTGCCCTCCTCCTGCTTCCCC